GCCGGGTGCAGGTTCTGCTAGCTGGGTGCTGGCAGGTTTGACCCTGGCACGGGTACCGTACACAGCCCCTTTAAGGGGTCCGGGTCCGGGAGGGGAGCAATAGAGTTTCCCTGGTGTTGGCCAGAGTGGCCACCAGGGAAAGTTGGGGAGGGCTAGCCTCTCACTAGTTCAAATTAAGGGGCTACACACCCCTTAATTCGAACTAGTAAGTTCGAACTAGGCTTAGTCCTCGTAAAATGAGGTTTACCTATTTCGAACTAAGCGCTCCGCTAGTTCGAATTAAGTTCGAACTAGTGGAGCGCTAGTGTAGCGCCTATCAAAGTAAATTCGAACTAACGTCCATTAGTTCGAATTAACTTTGTAGTGTAGACATACCCAGAGACTGTTGTGATTATTATTTTGTTTATTCATGATCACTCTGCCCAGAATGGTGATGGTGATGGTGCTTGATTTTTTTTTTTAAGTTAAAAACCTTCAGTGGCAGCGGTTGGGTTTTTCATTTGTTTTTTTTTTAAATAGAAAGCTTACAAAAATACCTGTTAAAATTTACAAATATTCCTAGGGGAAAAATAAAATAATTCAGCAGTGTTGCACTTCCCTCTGGAATTTGAGCAATAGCCATAGGTCCATGCAGCCTAAGTATTCTGCAATATAAGATCTGATTCAGCACAGTACTTTAGCACAAGCTTCAAGTACATAAGTATTTTGTCTGGAGCCATATAGCCTACTTCCCAATCTCAGAATCACAGATTTCATTACAGGTGAGGAGGGAACTAGATGTGACTATGAACATCTTAATTGCAAACTGCCCTACAAGGCCTTAGGCTGGTAGCTCATTTTAAAAATGATACAGAGAGTGAGAGCTTTTCATGAGTCATTTGTGGCAAGATGTTGTTACATCAGTATTCGTAGAAGAAAAAGACTGTTTCTATGTGCTGCTGTAGTTCTGTTTTACACAGTGAATCAGAGTTATATTCCTGCCACAGTTTGATTGCTTAACAAGCATAGAGTCTTTCCTCTTTGTGAATTAAGTGCGATACCTTACCACTACTGATGCTGCCATTCTATCTGTTTATTAAGAGAGAAATATTGCTTCTGTGATTTTGCATTGCAAAGAGTTTATGTTCTCTCAACTTTACATTGTCTGTTTTAACAACAAGGACCCTATCGTACCAGGTCCTGACTTGCCATTACATACAGCGGGATTTGCATGCTCAGCACATTGCAGCATCCGACCCTAAAAGAATATTATTGGCATTAAACTTAGTTGTCATCTTTTTCATTTTTCAGAGTCACCCAGCACTGCTGAAGTTTCTAATACAAGCTGAAAGTAAGCAACTAGTCATCAGTCTGGAGAGAAATGAGTAAGTAGAGCTGATTCATATTCCTTGCACACAGAAGGTGCTAGTGGAGGGATTATAGTCTTAAAACTGATGGGGTGTGTAATGCTTGGATCTGTGGGAAAGTCTACCTCCTAGTGCTTATGGAAACAAACTCCTGCCAATAGTGTTTCATTCCAGTTTGTATTTTGGCTCTTATAAATAATTCTGGTTACTATATGGTATGAATCTAGTATCTCTGTATATAACATTGAAAAGAAAACCATCCCCTCTCAGTGTTTTCCTTGTTATCAGCCTTTTGTTTTTCCTGTGGTAACTCCCTCTATTTACATATTAAAGGGAACCCTGCAGGTCCTGGAGCATCTTCCTGGAGGGTCTGTTCTTTCCTGATTCTCCCTGTTGCCATTGGCTGACTGCCAGTGCACACACACCCTACCCCTGAGATGCAGAGCATGAGTCAAACAGTCAGTATTATCCCCTGCTGGAATTTTCAATGGAGGTTCCACGGATTTCTTGGAGGGGGAGGCAAGATGAGGCCACATAAAGCAGTTATCCTCTCTCTTATCCCTGGCAAGATGATACTCCCAAACTGCAAAGCTCCAGCTGTGTGGTGTTCATGCAGTATAGCCTCTTTAGGGGTGGTTAATTATTCCTGTTCAACTCAGTTCTCTTTAATCTGCGCTTACCAGCCACATCGACTGTATTTGTGAAAGTTTCACCTGCACTTGCAGGTAGTTGTACTATGTGCTCATAAGTAAGTAGGACAGAACTGTGTGGTTTTCCTTGGTACTGCTAGTTCAGTCCATTATTATGAAACTGAGGTCAGGGCCCCCTGGTGCTGGGTACCCCCCTACACACACACACATGGTCCCTGTCCTGAAGAATTTACAGTCTAATTAGACAGAGACAGACAAGGGGTGAGGAGCAGAAGTACAGAGGAATTAATGGACTTGCCCAGAGTCACTGAGGAAGTCAGAGCCGGTAATTAAGCACAGCTCACCCAAGTTTTAATCCTTTACTTTAACCATGAGGTCACACTTCCTCTTTCTTCTCATGCCAACAGTAACAACCACATTCTGGGAAGCAGACAGAGGTGGAATGATCCAAGTTATCAGAAAACATCCTATGTGTCTCATACAAAATGCTATACAGTATGTGTAACATTGCAGATCAGGGTTCTGATGCTTTCTGTGATCACATTTTCTTAAAACTATCGAGTGGGGAAAAGGATTTGTTGCAGGAGAACTCTAGCAATAAAAGTTTCTTGTCATTGAGCAGCGAAGCTGTGAGCACAGACATACAGTGGCTGTATAAACTTTTTTGGGGGGTGCACGGAGAGTGTGGGGAATAAAATCAAATGTCCACATTACAAAGCATGTGTTGTGCTGAAGCTGGTAACAAGTAACCAGCATGGATTTCAGTGAGAACACCTCTATTACTTCATGGTAAAACCAGGAATAAGGCATTGGTTGACCTGAACACCATCCCTCGGTGGCACAGTGTCAACTTTGCTTTCTTAGTCAGTATTATACCAAATCACAATGGTCATTGATTTTCAGCACTTCTTACTAGTTCCTTTTCTCTGTGTGCAACAAAGATGCAGATTGCAGCATTTTGAGATTATTCGGTTCCAATTGTTCCTTGCAGCTAAGAGAAGACTGAATTTGCTCAGTAAATATGGAATTACTTTAATATTATTATAATCTTTGACAAAGGGGATGCCTAGTTTCCTAAATGTAGAATATGCTGCAATTGAGGAAGCTATTCATATTATCTGTCAAAGATGTAAAAGAACATAAAACCATTAATACTGACATTAGTGGATGTATTAAATCCTGTTTTACTTATAATTAACAACTAGATTTAGATGTCTTCAGGACTGCAAGTCATGTTGACTTTAACAGATAAGCACATGAAAGGACTCATTTGCAGCACTCAAGCTCGGAGAAGGAGGGGGAGGAGCACAGACTGAGGATGCTCTGAGGAAGAGGCAGGGAGCTGTGGAGCACCTTCCCCTGAGCTCCACTCTCTCCAGTTCCAGTTGGCCAATGCTGGCCCCTCTGTAGCTGCCGGAGCAGAGCCCCTCAGCTGGTAGCAGCAGAGGAGCTAGCATTGTCTCTCCTTGATATGGCAGATTCCCTGGTTCAGGACTGGTCAGATTCTGAGAGTGCTGGACCATCGAGGTACAACCTGTAACTTGATCCTATAGTTCCAGAAAGGGGTAAACTAATTCTCAGAGTCTGAACCCAAGGTTGGGTCTCTGGGGGTCACATCTAACATCCATAAAGAGTCTGACTTAAAGGGAGATATGAGAATTATCCAAGTTGGGAAGACAAAATCCAACCAGAGATAAGGGGAGCAGTACTTCGTTCAGAGCTAGACTAGGTTTCTTATCTACACCCCAAAGGAACAGTCTGAAAACATTTGAAATTCTTAAAATAACTTTTGAGGAACAGAAATAGGGAGGCCCTGCTGGACATACAGAATTCTGAGAAAGACATTCATTTTCATTATATTAAGTTTATCTCTCAAACTGAGGGTTAATGAATGCCAGTTCCTCAAATTGTTAGCCAAATGGTGATTATTTGGTTGTGTATTTATCTTAGGGATGTTCTGAATGGGTATGTCTACACTACCCTCCTAGTTCGAACTAGCGAGGTAATGTAGGCATACCGCACTTACAAATGAAGCCCAGGATTTGAATTTCCCGGGCTTCATTTGCATAAGCGGGGAACCGCCATTTTTAAAACCCCGCTGGTTCGAACCCCATGCAGCGCAGCTACACGGGGCACGAACTAGGTAGTTCGAACTAGGTTTCCTAGTTCAAACTACTGTTACTCCTCATGGAATGTTACTTCCACGAGGAGTAACGGTAGTTCGAACTAGGAAGCCTAGTTCGAACTACCTAGTTCGTGCCCCGTGTAGCCGCGCTGCACAGGGTTCGAACGAGCGGGGTTTTAAAAATGGCAGCGCCCCGCTTATGCAAATGAAGCCCGGGAAATTCAAATCCCGGGCTTCATTTGCAAGTGTGGCATGCCTACATTACCCTCCTAGTTCGAACTAGGAGGGTAGTATAGACATACCCAATATGTCTTCAAATCAGTATTCCTTTCTGAGAACTGGAATGCATGTGAGTCTGGGGGTGAGTGGGAGAGTGGTTAGTACATGTGTGTACAGCACCGTCACAGTAAGTTCCTAATCATAACTGAATCTCCAGCACGACTGCAATACAATACATAAATATTACTACTTATCCTCACTTCTGGAATTTGTAACATTCTAAGCTGTTGAGAGACCCCAGACCACATAAATAGCTGGCCATAGATCTTGCAAGTGTTACTTTTTCCTTCTTTCTGCTATTGACTTACTTAAAGACAAATAACTGAGTCTTAATGATTTTTTTGTTTAATTCATATTTATATTTTTACTCTTATTCAGGAAATGAAAAAGTTAAGAATACAGCAGCAAAATTAATGCTACTCACCTCTTATGAGCTCCTCCTGACGGAGTGCACTTGCCTACAGCCTCTCTCTCAGTTTGTGGTGGATCTTTGATCCACACAGTCTACAAAAACAAAGCAAATCCCTTCTGAGGTACTAGTTCAACAGGGGCCTCTAAGGGATCTTTCGGAAAAGGCTTTATTTTCTGAAAGATCTGCATCTAGACTGGCGCTTTTTTCCGGCAAAGCTCTGAGCCGAAAAAAAGCGGCAGCCATTTTTATGCTAATGAAGCGGGGGGGATTTAAATCCCCGCTTCATTAGCAATTGCGATATGTCTAATTTGCATTCCTTTTACGAAAAAGGGATGCAATCTAGACGTAGTCTTTCAGTTTATCCCTGTTCTGGAACAGAGTGGTGCCTTAGGGGTCTGTGTATGGAGGCAATGTCTTTGCCCTCTTAAGGCCTTTCTGGCTTGGCCACTGCAGTTCATTTCCCCTTCTGGGGTGCCTCAAAGTCCAGGCTTCCTCCCTGCAGGAGCTAATGAGAGCTATGGGGAACCCAGGCATCCCGCATAACTCAGTCCCACCCTATGGACCCTGTTAATAGCAGCTGTCTGCTTCGTCCATTCATTTAAACCCCTCTGCTGCTCTAATTCCCTGGAACACTACCCCATGGCCCTGAGCCATCTTTTCCCTTACCTCAGGGTTTTATCCAAATAGAGTTCCAGCAACTACCTCAGGGCTTCTTCTCAGTCTCTTCAACTCCTGGCAATGGACACTTTGGATGGGGCTCTGCAGCTTTTCTGACCAGCTGCACTATCTACACTCCTACAGCTCCATTCAGGGGCTGAACTGGGTCTGGCCCAGCTTCTCGCACAGCTTCTCCAGGGAGCTTGACGGAGTCATGGGGTCGGTAAGTGGCCTTGGGGCTAGTTCATCCCACCACACTTGGTTCAAATACATATTGGTGACCACCGGTTGCTTCTCAGTGTGGATACTGGATGAATATGTGTGTGCTATTCAGTATTACTGCTGACATGCATGGCACTATGCGGATATATAAGAAGAAATAACCTATGCTTCCCAGAGTTTGCAATCTAAGGAGCTGATGTTTTCCCCACAGACATCAGTGGCTACATTTCCACTGGTGTTAGTGGCAAACACGGAGTCAGGACCAGTGTGGCAATATATAGCTATGAAAATGGTGGGAGAGAATGTAACACGCGCTCTTGAAATGTGTATTGTTTAGAAGCTGCCATCTTGCTTACCTTTGTTTCCAATAATTTTGGGAGGCTGTTGTGGCTGGGTCATGAAAAGAAGATGTTAGAAAAAAAGAATAGCATAGGCAGGATGTTTAACTAGGGCCAGAGCATACCCTAGGCAAATTATTGCCATTAGAATTATTTTGTGGGGATAAACCCACCCATCTCCACAGAGCTGGTTGGGGTTTCATTTCATCTGTCTCCCCTAAGGATCTGCAAAGGCAAAATGCAGCTGCTATACTTGGTCTGTCCTTCTCCCCTTATGCATTTCAGATCCTTGACAGCACAGCTTCCTGTACAATCCATGCATCTAAGAACCCCTT